TCATGAGAATCAAGCAGCTACATCCATGCTCTGTCCGTCTAGCAATGAAGGTCGCAAACAGACGATAGCTCTGCAAACTTCAGCATCACCATCAGAGACATCTGTTACCCTCTACATGTACGTAGTAGCTCAAACATCCACAGACCTCCAATTCCCTTCCTCCTCCAATTTCTTAGACATCCTCCTCCAATGTCTTCTAAGGATGTGACGTTTCATTTTGTAAATGTTTAGCAAACATTTAAAGAACCATCTCAATGTTGAGCCCTTTCACAAAGACTGACGACTGCCCATTGTGCAGACCAACATGATCGACACAACAAATAATAAATGAGGAACATAATAAAAAGAGGGCTGTCATTGAAAACAATAAAAAGATGAGCACGTAGCCTGAAAGTAATCTAGTACTGCAGTTCTCCTTAGCTTTTAGCAAATTGAATAGGTTTGGATTATTTTTGTTATGCATGCTCAACTCAAAGGAAGATAGCGAAAAATAGGTTCCTGTTTTTAAAATTTGAGTTTTGTTAAAACTTTTGGAAAAATTTAGAATTTTGTTTATTATTTTAAATGTTTAAATGTGTAAATGTCACATCCATAATCACTCCACCAATACATAGTTCCCCTTTTGCCTGTGGATTTCAGTTTAATGTTTACACTCAGCCTGCAGAGGACAAAAATACTTTTTGACATCAGATTTGATATATTTATTGAATTTGTTAAAAGCACAAGTAAATTAATGTGCACAGTTTAACTAGCTAAATTAAATTTATGATATACAACTTTTGTCAAAGTGGATTTTTGTTAATTTTCACCTACTGCTTCTAATTGTTTCAGCTTCTTTTCAAAAAGTTCAATGTACCCACTGACACTCTATAGTGAACATAGTTAAACAGTACAACTGCCAATGCATCAACCTTACGCTAGAATCATTCGTGGGTTTATCTCTATCCTAAATGCTGGAGATGTTTATCATGAATTTCTTCCTGCATGTACACTCCCAGCAAGTTCTTATTAAAAAGGGGCCTATGGGTCATTCTTCAGTATCAAGTGTCTACTTTCATGTCCCGACACTTTAAGGCACTATCAATCGAAAAAATATACAATGAAAATTAGATTTTTAAGCAGTAAAATTAACTTAAACACGACTCCTATTATGTGCAGTGTTAAAAACTCTTTCAAATAATGGCCAAGATGCTCATTCTTTACAATACTCCCTCAAAACCCCCTCAAAATACATGTCCCAGTGTATTTCTCAATATGTACCTACTGCCATAATTTGTAAAGTAAACAACTTGAAAAGGTAATTATACCTCCAAAAGCCAAGTAATATAATAATTATCATTTCCGTCACAAAAGGTGTGACGGATATGACTTTTGCACTCTTTTCACAATCAATATTTCTTTGGGTCCTATTGAAAATATAGGAACCCAGCATTAATTATTTCCTGTAGAAACTACTTCATATCACCACTATGATACAATAGAGACTAAAATAACAGAGAGAGATATGTTGCAAGGATGAATGAAGTCCCTGAAAGCCATCAGCCCTATTTTTGGCACATAATAATTATCAATTGTCAGATTGATCTTCGATCATGCCAATTAAATATGTTGAAAACTTTCTAGTGCTTCAACATGGAGGGGGGGGGATGCACATATTGTGATGTACGTGAGTAACCACTAGCTTAATTGTCACTTCCTTAACATGCTCAAAATCCAAAATGTTTAAATAGGATTATGTGAGAATCTTATATCTGCGGTTTATGCAACAGGATTGGTACCATTGCGAATCCCGCGCTTTGTGAATGCAAATCGCCATGATCGCAACCTTGGTAATAGTAACGATTCTTTCCCTGCTAAATACTCACGACCGGACCATGAACGTCTTGCAGTTTTTCAGGTTTTAAGAAAATCGAGTTGACGGCGGACGCATAAACCAAGTACCTCACAAATTAGCAGAGATACCACCATGAAAACATCCGGAGAAAGTGACCCAACATGGCGACGACACTTGCAAGACGGGCTTGAGTACAGGGTCTTTTCATTGTGACATGTGCATGCAGCACTGACATGACAACAAACCGCCACATGTGAATTGTAACCATTCATTTTGCACCTGTCAGTGTCACAAAACAACACCACCTGTATGCGCCCTCACGTGGGCAATACGTCATACCTTGGGAATTTCCGTACTAAACATTGGTTTCGTTTGAAAGATTTGGCTTTGACTTCCAGCGATGTTATTTTGTCACTTTCGGGATAAACTGGTATCGGTCTTTGTTTTGCTTTGAGCATTTTTTTGTTGTTGACAGCCCAAAGTTATGACAGGCTTGTATCGGAAATGATTACGTTACTGACTCCGAAGCTAGTCCGAAATTTCGAAAATGCCACTCTCAAAGATTTGTTTAGAGGGCGCTGTTAAAGTTACCGGTAGAAACTTTTTAACATAGACTTGGTGGCAGGATAACCCCTAGAGAGATTGACCCCCCCCCCCCCATACCAAAAATGCTACCTTAAAATGAAAAAAAAGTAGAACAAAGTTCCCTAAGAACGGTGTAAAGATTATGTATGTATGTTTTTGTGTTTACGTATCTGGGCAAATACTAGGAGCTGCAGCTCAGTCCATTATTTACCAAATTGTGGTAAACGCAAGAAATGTGGCCTACAGAACCGAAATGGGCCAGGTCATTTGAGGGTACTCACCTTTAAAAAAAATTATCATACAAATTCCTAAAAAATTATACTGGTATAATGTCCGCCTGTTCAAAATACGGTACACCAGTCTGTAATCTAGTGTTACTAATCGTCGAATTTGAACAGCGCCCCCTATTGAAATATGGAACCAGCCCCGCTCCCCCCCCCCCCCCCCCCAATCATACAAATCCCTAAAAAATTATACTGGTATAATGTCCGCCTGTTCAAAATACGGTACACCAATCTGTAATCTAGTGTTACTAATCGTCGAATTTGAACAGCGCCCCCTATTGAAATATGGAACCAGCCCCGCTTCCCCCCCCCCCCCCCCCCCCCCCCCCCCCCCCCCCCCTGTTTACATTTTCTGACTTTTTGGCAGATGAACCACCCTCCCCTGCAAAAATTCCTGGATCCGCCCCAGTACTCTATTACTCATTAGTAATTTAGTGTGCACAATTGTAGGATTTTATCAGCACTCCCCTGGGCACTCCCCATTGAATATATGTACAAGAAAAGGAAGATACTTTAATTTTTAAAGATATTTTCAATTTGGGTGTGATTATTTTTCTTGAGTACTTTCCATTAGCCATGATATCTACTTGGACACATTGGGAATCTATAACCAAGAAATTTAACGTGACCCAATGAAATAAGCCAGAGGAAAAAATGGTCAATCTTTCACACAGAATAATTTGACTAAAACAAGTAAATTGGCTCAGATCTACATGTACATGTATTTAATATAAAATTTGCCATTGAAAATACAATTTTATTAAAAGTTCAAAAGAGTTCATTTCTAACATCACGTTGCCAGAAAACTAGACCATTTATATAATAGAAAGTCTGATTCGTTTTAAACACCGCATCCACCTTAATAATTTGCCATTGGAAATGAAAGAAGTGACTGTTCATTTTTAAACCAAGTCACAAAAATCCAAAATTTACAGCACATAAATTCTGATAAGTTTAATAACTATATGGTGTGCATGTATAATAAATGACAAATACAACTACATGTACATTAAAGTAGGCGAATCATATCCACATCATTTACGTTCATACCAATATCCATGACAGAAAACCTTATCGCATTTGCATAAATAATTTTGCACTTCACTGTAACTCACATTGTTTTGATGTTCAAATGTATTTCACTCTTTAGTGATGGTTATGCGAAATGACAAAAACACTTCTAAATCGTATATAAATTCTTTGGAAGTTTTGGTAACTTAAAACAAAGGGAATACAAATTCATCTTGATGTTTTTTAATTACACATTGCACTCTGATGAATACATGCCTTTCATGATTGCAAGTGCTGCCCAAATCTGGTCTCGGATTATCGTGATCATGACTAATCCTACATATGCAAGACTCATTTGACCATTAAAAATTTTCACATTTGATGTTTCCCATTTACCATCAGAAGCAATGAAATGCACTTCTTGTATAATCCTAATGACTGCAACTTTCATATGAGGTACATATGATTATTTGCTTCTTGTGCCTTTACTTTCGTTTGAAGCAACAAAATTGCTACAAATCTTAAGCAGGGTGCATGACAACTAACCTGTTGAAGGTTGATCAGATAGCATACATTTTAAGAAAACCGAGGAAATACATTCACTTTTTTGGGGTGTCTTGTAACTGGATTCCATTGCTAATGCATAATGTTAAAATGTGCCGTGGACACCCTCTTTCAACACCACCTCAGTTTTCATCCACACGAAACAATTTCAGTTGGAATATTTTCAAAGGGTATTTGGTACCACTCCTATCTTGACTTTGAGCAGAGTTTTGTCATTAAATCAATGCTTCTCCCGGTAACTGCAAATGATTCACATGGCTCTAAGTAACAGTGTTTCAATTTTAACTGCCAATGTACATTGGTCCAGTAAATAATACTTTCAGGTACTGTTTTCACACAAAACTTGAGCCCTGCTAACGAACTCATTGCACACAGCAAGATGTGACAATAACTTGAACATTGACAAATAGTCTCTTTGGTTTCAGTAAAATAAAAAAATAAAAAAACATGTTTACATTATAAAATATGTATATTTCATTATTAATTTAGAGCACAAAATTGCATCATGACAAGTTACAATTGATGAGTACTGATTTCAACAATGAGTTATTATTATTTTTAAAAATATAGCATTGTCTCCTTATTTTGTTACAATTGTTATATTATAATAATGCAATATATTTTATAATGAAATAATCGTCGGTTTCCCTTTTTGGTTTATCGGGACATTTGTTTGTTTATTTTAACAAACCTTTGTACTGATCCAGCATAACCGGCACAAATTTGGACACCATGTATTGGTTCAGTTGAGCTTGCCATTTGGGGTCGAGATGCATGTTGAGAAGATGCCTGGTGATAGATGTCTTGAGATCCTCTGAGGAAAAAAAAAGACCAAAGAATATTCAAACTGAGACGAGCAAAATGGTGGTTAATCTAAACACAGACTCAAAACGGCAGGTTCTTGCTGGCCGTTTAAAGTCTGATACTGGCAAGGGCGTAGATTGTCAGCTGGCTAGTGTGTAGATTGTTTGATTGACCTATGACACAGGGTTCAACATTATTTAAATGTTTACAGGCGCACTAAATGTCAGAACCATGAGGCCCCTGAATGTCCTCATGTACACGTGTCAGGTCAGATCTTCTGTTTAAATGGTGGTCTGACTGTCTGAGGTACTTCCCTCTCCCCCACAACAAATGTTTTTATGCAAAAGATGTATGACTTATTTGATGCAGTATTCATAAGATGGAATTTTGCGTCGGGGTGATGTAAATCAAATTAGGTTTTGCCCTTGCACCGACGTATAAACGGACAGTATAAACGGACAGTATAAATGGTCAGTGTGTTACCTCCTGAGTGAAAGTTGGAAAAAATCACTCGGGTGGGACTCGAACCCACGATCTCCTGCTTTCTAGTGCAGATGTCTTACCACTCATCCACCGATCTAAGGGGATATGATGTACATAGCAGCGGGTATCGCATACATAAGATGGAATTTTGCGTCAATTTAGGGTTTGCCCCTCGCCGACGTTTTTTTCCAACTTTTACTCAGGAGGTAACACACTGAGTATACAGTGTTTAAATGTCGGGGGGGGGGGGGCAAAACCTAATTTGATTTGAATTTTATTCAGCATGCAGAATCCTGTGGTCAAAAGGTTCCCATGTTTGACTCATGCATGATGTCATGTTGGGTCAACCTTGACAGGGGACACGTCGCTGTTGTTCTTGGGCAAGATACATTACTACAATTACCTCTCTCCATTGAGTATATGTGGGGGGTGCAGACAAGATACTGCTGATCTCGAGTTTCAGCAGGAAAGTGTTCTCATGGCCTGATGAACAGGGGTAATAAGTGTGAGCAATCCAAGAGTGTGGTATAAGAGTGCTGTATAAACACTGCACTACGATCATCCAATATCTTAACATCAGCGCAAGGTGTTGAGCGACAATGCAGTCAAGAGTTCCACCTAACCTTTTTCCTTAAAAGGAAGAGTTTTTGGGCAGAGAGTCCACTGTACCTACCAGGTAATTCTGAGTTGACCACCCCAGGGTAGACAGGCAAAGGCCCCCATGAGGTGACGACATGAAGCTAGTCCCTCAGCTCAGGATGGCCCTTCATCTGTAAGGCTAGGGTGTTGGAGTTGATGCCTGTACCGTCTGCTGTCTTATTAAGGATCATCTGGATGGACTTCAGATTGGAACCTGGGCAGGATTAAAAAATTTTACAAGATGTAAATTATCCTTTTTTGGTAAGAATAATTTTAAGAGGAGTGCGTTCGATAACTTCCCCCAGCTTACTCGCGCCTGGCTCCTCGCGTAATGACAGACATGCGCAGTGAAGCTAAATACACGGTTTCGGGTAAAGTTTCGTGCAAGAGCTGGAAATATGAGCATCGCCAGGATTTTTTCTAGAGGGGGGCAAAACATATTTTCCAACAAATTCCTGTTTTTCTCAAAATATTCTCGATTTATCATTTTTCATGGTTTTAGCGGGGGATAGTTCGGCCGTGATGCCAGCCTGTGCCGCGGTCATCTGTGCAATGGATTGCTTCAGGCCGCTGCACTCTTGCCTGGAGGCAGCCAGGTCTCTCAGGCAGCCTCTCCATCTTTTGGTTTGTTTTAAGTAGCTCACTGTTGTCAATTTGCAGACGGCGGATATTTGTCCCAAGCTCTTGCTCAGCATCCCTGCACAATATTTTACAGGAAATCATACAAGATATATAAAAACACTTTATCTGCGGATCGCGTGTGTTGCTTATTCTCGCGGTCGATTTTGTCTTCAAGAAAGAAAAAAAAGGTTTTAAGGTGCCGCAACGCATTAAGCATCCACTGCTAAAAACACCGGGCAAACTCCTTCTCTTAGCGATAAGTGTTACCTTGTTAACTTCCATTGCACGGTTTGACTGCTGCGAATGGTGGCACTGCAGAACAGCTTTTAACTTACATAAATTGGATGTAAAAGTTCTGAACTTTTTGCACTGTTCAAGTTCTGAACTTGTGGAACAGCTTTTAACTTGCCTTGCATGAATTGGTAATAACACTTCTAAACTTGTGGAATAGTTTTAAATCGAGATAAAATGAATATGATAGTTCTCAACCTTTTACATCAATTAAATGGGACAGCTCTGAACTTGTCGAACTTTTAAACAGTTGTTAACTTGAATAAATTGGCTATTAAAAGTCAACCAATCAGATGACGAGGATTTATTCAGGTGTTATATAAAACAAATAATGAATGTTTCACATTCGTGCAATGGAAAGAATAATTTCATTCGGAGGTAAAATTTTCGCCTCGTGGAATGGAACATTTCATCTGTCACCTCATGAAATTATTCTTACCATTGCACTACAAACATTCATTTATCTGTAGTAGTACATGTCAACATGTAGTAGTACATGTCAACAACCATTTGAAGTTAACTGGTTGAGATTTGTTCAATTCATTGGCTTCGGTGCATGTTCATGTAGGTGGCATTTGAATGAGGAACTTGTGAAATATGAAATTTTGACCCAGAAATTTGGCAGGGGATGCCCTCTCCAATGAGATGATTACTAACCTGTATGTTTTGTGCACAGCCAGGCCCGTCGCCAGCCCCGAGCATCAGGAGGGGCCAAATAGTACCAACAAGGGGGACCCACCGTTTGGGGGGCCAATTGCTCGCCGAGGGGGGCCCGGCCCCACCAGGCCCCAACCCCCCCCCTCCCCTTGGCGACGGGCCTGTGCACAGCTCAGGCCGTGTTCCATAAGCTCCCGCTGAAGTCCTCCACCTCACTCATGCACGCAATCTTCCTGGGCGGCCTGCAGGGGCGAGTGGTCCTTCGGTGGCAAGTCATTCAGTGACACTACTGGCTACACCCTAGGACATTGGAGAAACATGACTCTAGTGACTATTAATGTAACCCTTGCTTGTAGTGCTGAAACTGATACTCTGCAGGTTCGGTTTGGTCTTTATAGGGCGGTAGAAATAAGAAATTGGGCGTTTTTAGCTGCGCACATAAAATGTACATAGTGCGCAAGCATGAGTGCTTGGTAGTACAGCGTACCAGCGAAAGCGCTGTTGCGCGTTGGGCTCTTTTAGTGTGCGGCGCGGAATTGGGCGCATTGGCATTGCACTGCATGCACAAACCGCATAGTTGGGTGCTTACTGAAGCCAAATTTATAGCGCGTATTTTAAAGTTGCTAAGGAGCTTGGTTACGCGTACGCCGTAGGCGCGGCGCACTTCACTTGCCATTTGCTGTCTCCACAACTAATATTGTGAGTAGAAAATAGTGTTATTGATATCGTGACACTTTTCCCAGCTATTTAATTTAGGGCAAGTCTAGCTTGGGGTAATTCAGCGCACAGTTATCCAAAGTCCGCATATTTTTAGATGAAATTCAAAGTCAATGGGCTAAAAAATCCCACTGCAGAAAAACTGCACCTTTAAAAACTTGTGATTTGCCTTTGAACTGAAACATTTTCATAAAATAGTACTTGATATTCTGACTCTTGGGAATATTTTGAATCAAATGACAGCGCGAAAAAATACGATTTCTCTGTCTTTCTCATAGTAATTCTTGGCCGAAGTTCAGAACAACTCAGTAAGATATCAGTGTTGTATAGGAAAAGACTTGTGGAAAATCCCACTGCACCTTTAAATACGTAACATAGGGCTTTTCTGCATTATGATTTTTTTTATCAATTATACGTCCCTGACTATGCGCATGCATGAACATAAAATCTGTCAAAGTTAGGCGGAATCTGCTAAACAGTCACTGTGGACAGGATTTGACCTCAGCAACACGTGCTCTGCGGGCTGACTGACATACGATGTATGTGCGTATGTACAAGGTATGTGCATGTACATATACATTGTGGACGTCCTGTGCATATTTTAAAGCAGATGTATTGTCAACCTGAACTTTTAAGCGTACGCAGGGCATGTCCGAGTTCGCTTATTGCCTCGAAGCTTTGAAATATTTTAGACCTACCCTTGAATCGACAATTGAAGTAAAAACTAATATAACTGCCATGGTTGATTTTTCAGGAATATTCAAATGAAAAAGAGTCTTTTTATTATAACTTCCGGTCTGATGACGTCATTCGCCTAAAACTACGCACACGTCTTAAGTGGGTCAAGGTCATCATATACACCAATATTAAGGTGATTCCGACAAACTTCACCACAGACATCTATTCAAAATACATTTAAAATTTTTTCAACCTGTCGCTAGAGGGCGCTCGAAGATTGCACGACGTCATCGGTAGATGATTTGAAGAATACTATCAGCCAAGTGACTAACACCGTTAAAAGCAAGTTCATATCTATTACTGCTTTTAAAAAATAAGCCACTTCCGGTTGTGGCCTTTTTCGACCGGAAGCAAGGGTCCAAGATTGCACGCACACTGAATGAAATGAAGACCTCAACCTACTCTACCACTTGCCGGCAACAGAATGCTGCGGACGCGTACGGTTGATTTCTTATGCATTTTTAAATATTAAAAGTGTCACAATTTAATTGACTATAAATAAACACCTGATGACGTCATCATGACGTCATCATTACACGATGTTGTTTGAATTAGGGTCTTTGCTTGGACAAATAGTGGTGTAAATGAATTACTGGCAAACAGTCGAAAATGCCCTTTGAAAATTGACAATGTTTTCTTAATTTCTGTGTACAAAGTCTATGGGAAAAATGAAATATTCAAAAACCTATAATAAATTAGTCGATGACGTCACCATGACGTCAATCTTCAGGACACATCTTTGCTATAGGGACTATGCTTATGCTAACTTTGAATGATGTATGACAAAGATTAATGTCAAAAGTGGTGGACAGAAAAAACGTGCACAAAGTCTATGGGATTTTGGCGACAAAAAGAAATAAAAAAGCCCCCCCAAAAAAAATCAGAACAAAAACAAAGGCTTTTACGCAAAATTGCGAAAAAGCCAACTACGGAGCACCAGTACTACAAAACTGTCCCAATCCTTTGACAAATCCTGGATTGGCCAATGCAAGACATCCTCCAAACCCCACCTTCAATTCTTTAATGGTGTTCTCCAGTCCTTTTTTTGTCCTCCCCGTTAGTTGGGCGTCCTGATTCGTTCAGTGAGGTACCTTAGTGACAACAAGAAAAGTAGTGTTAAACTAGAGGTTCGCGTTTGTTGTTATAAACGCAGAGTGGTCGGGTAGACAACCATTTCATTAGACATTGTCCAAGTAAGTTATGAATATGTTTATGTCAGAAAGAAAGGACCAAGAACTTTAACATTTCAAGTACCAATTATTTGAACAAAAAGAATGTGTCTTTTAAGTTGTGATAAATTTCAGTAAACAGTTGGGTACACGTACAAGTTATTTCCGGTTTGATGGCGTCATCAGTCAAAACAGGGAAGGGAGGACACTTGTTTATAATTAAGTAAAAATAACGCATGAAAACATGGAAATTAAGTGTATGTAATAATAACAGCTAACTTCCAGTTTGATGATGTCACAGTATTTGGAAGCAAAAGGTCAATATTAAGTGTAACAGATGTCATTTTTGGGGGGCCAAAACGAAGTCATGAGACAGGGATCAAATGATGGATTTAAATTAAAAATAAAATGGTTATTGTTGAATTCTCCCTACAGTAACTTCCGGTCTGATGATGTCATGATTATGAAACCTTGCAAATTCATTTGCGATTGCTCACAGGATATATAGGGGCAATATATCTTAAAAATTAGATTGAGGGTTTTAACATTTTAAAAGATTAAACTGTTTTCTCTGTGCCGCTGGAGAGGCCCTTTCGTGGATGACGTCAAAATAATGTTTTTGTGATTGGCATTCCTCACTTAACTCTTCCATAATGTATTTGTCTGTAGTAAAATGCTTCCATGTTAGAGTTAGATTCAGTTTCTATTGCACTTCCGGTAACACCGGAAGTTAAGGTCAAGCAGTTTTGTGCCCGGGAATAAGAAATGTTGCTCAAGGCACCGTCTACAACCTCACGAAAAAAACGAACACGATACTCTATTTAGTTCAAGAGATATAGGACAAAGTATTTTGTCAAATCGTGCAATCAAATTGCTTGTAATTTGATACCTGATGACGTCATGATGACGTAACAACAGTTATAACATCTTCGTAACATGGTACAAGTTCCCACAAGGTTTTATGATCAGACCGTAAACCGTTTGGAAGAAATTTTGCTTTGTTTCGATTTCAGGCTAATGTCTTCATTTTGAATTCACCTAACTTTGACCTTCCGGTAGACCCGGAAGTAAAGGTCAAGTGAGTTCACGTACATGACAAAAAATGTTATCAATTTATGGTCTATCTGTTTACAAGATTGGCGCATAATTGATCATTTTGTTGAAGAGTTATAGATGAAAGAAAATCGTCATTTTTTTCAACGAAATCGCTTGTAATTTGACACCCGATGACATCATTATGACGTCAGTGTAATATGCACCATTCCGAGTGAGGGTCGATATATGTTTAAAGTTACAAGTTCATATCATATACCGTTTAGGAGAAAACCCGCGGAAACGTACTATGCAGAAAAAAAAAAAAAAGAAAGAAAGAAAGAAAGAAAGAAAGATTAATCGCAACAAATCCATAGAGTGGTCGGGTTGTGCCCAACCAATCAAAAACACAAATGCCCCGCAACCATGCCTATTTCCATCACATAACAACACTCTATTATTAACATCAACTTACTTGGGTCACATGGAACGTTCATTGGCATCGTTATTGTTTTCTTTAGGCTATGATCCCATAATGAATTTTTGTTTTTAGCTTCTCTGTTGAGAAGTCATTGTATGTGATTTAAGCAAACTGACTGGATATTTTCAGTCTAAAGCAAAACATTTCTCAAAGGCAAATCCTTTTAGCATAATCCTTTGAGCATTTACAAGGCCTACATGGAAATAGGAATTTTCAAATAATCCAAAGAATATATACTTATTTGAATAAGCTTGAGTTATCAACACGACATTATTTCTTTGGGTTTTAATAATGTGAACAGTTGGCCTATGGGGTCCTAAAGTGACTCAAAATCCTAAAAACAACCTACAGAGCTGCATAAACATGTACATGTACTACAGTGCAAGTCTCAAGTTTTGGTATACATGTACATGTACATGTGTTTGTTTCCTGTTGTTTCAATTAAAACTATGACTGTCCAAGAAAAAAAGGTTAAGAAGCCACATTGATTATACACAAAACATGTGTAGACAGTGTACAGGGCCCTAATATTTGAGTGAATCATTACATTTGCACATGTATATTGGTTTGGTGGGGGAAAAAATATAAAAAAATAAAAATAAAATAAAATCCTATTGTTTCGATTCTAATGACCTTGGCCTTTGTCTTATGGGGTCCAAACTTATAAGTTATACTAGCAAGCTACATGTACATACACTTGTTTCGTAAAAAAAAATTTAAAAAAAAAACTATTCAAAAAAAAATAAAATGAAATAAAATCCTATTGTTTTAATCCTAATGACCTTGGCCTTTGTCTTACACATGTAAGTTATACTAGCAAGCTACATTGTATCAAGGTTCAAGAAATACATGGACAATCCAGATACCGCTGTGGAACCAAATGCACACGCACACACACACAGACTTGTTTCACATACCTAGTGTGGACTTTCCTTTCTTTTCGTGTAGTTAAGGAACACCAGTGGAAAAACTCATTTTTCTCAAACTGTGAAAACTCTTACAACCCAATTTTATTTCAATGATTCCCTTTAGTGTTTCTCTTCATTCTGCTACAGATAAACCTAACCCAAAAATGCCTCTAAACCTGTTTTCCAGAAATGGGGAAACACTGTGTGGACGTGGGCAAGTCCACACTTCGTCGCTGCTACCTACATTATGTGGACGTCTTTTGTTCGGAAGTCCACACTGCGTATGTAAGACAAGCTCACACTCCCCGGCACACACACACACACACGGACGGACAAGGCGGAAACAGTATGGCCCTTCGGCTTCGCTGGTGGGGCATAAAATGCCAAGGATCGTGACACAGTGGACAAAAGCACCATTTTTTCAACAAAGTATCTCCATGGTATACATTTTCGAAAAAAAGATGGACGCAAAAAATTGGATGATGGGAAGGATGTGTACATGTATGACGTCATTATGACATCATCAACTAACTATTACATAAAAAAAATTTGACAACATCTTCAGAACTACATGTACAAACATCACAACAACAAATGTGGTATCAAATTAAAGGGTACAACAAGATCTTTCATTCGAGTGGTATGTCAGTGGGATGTAATGTAGTCCAGGGTGTTGTTTTGGGCAAAAAAGCCCTTTTTTGGTAAAAAAAAAAATTTGGTGCTAAAATCATGGATTTTCTGGTGATCATTTTAGCACCTCGTTTTAACATGCAAACCGTAATTGGTATGTGAGTTTTTGTTCTTAAGTCAGAGAGAATGGTTCAAATTCTATGCCAAGAGAGTTTTCGTAATTGATTATTGGTATCTTAAATGTTTAAACTTATTCCAAAGATAGGCGGACAAAAAAAAACGTAACATAAGTTACAGTCGTATGACCATCTCAGTGTATCTAAGTTACAGATTCATCACATGTTACGTTGTCGAGCTTGGAGAGTTGGGCAATCTGCCGGGTGCATCTGCGATCACCATCGTAGGACCAGGTTTGTAGACATCGTTGAAGTCGTATCCTTGTAGCTTAAGACGCTACAAGCGAGGTGGTGCACTGGCTAGGATTTTGCACCAAATTGTAACCAATGGTTGTAATGGTCAGTGACAACAATGAAGTTGCAGCCGAATAAAGCTGCAGCAGTGCCACAGCTTCCTCTCGATATTGAAGAATATGCTCTGGAACAGGATCTATAGGCTTTTTGAGGAAAATGCAATGGGTTTACCTTCCTGGGTAATACCATCTACTTTGAAGATGGTTTCTATACCTCTGGGTCAGAGAATCGTAGCCAGTACTGAGTTGAGATGGAGCGTTTAAGGGTTATAAAAGAAGCTTGATGGTCCTCTCGCCAGAGGAATGGCTTTAATTAGCTGATGACGTCATAATGAAGTCATAAATTGACCTTTTAATCATCCAATTTCTTGCGTCCGTCTTTTCTTCGAAAAGAGAGATGCTTTGGTGAAAAAATTGTGCTTTTATCCACCTTGTAACGATTTTTTCACTAAGGTACCTGGTTATTTTTTCTGTAATCTTTTCCATTTTTTTTTCGTGCACATCCAATTCCTTCTGGATACGGTCGATGTGAAGCTGTTGGGATACCAAAATACAAGTAACGAATGTTAACGAGTGCAATGGTAAGAATAATTTCATGAGGTGACAGACGGAATATTCCATTCCACAAGGCGAAGCCGGGTGGAATGGAATAAGTGACTGCTCGTAGTTCAGCTGTTGGAATACAAAAAAAACAAAGAAAGATTTTTTATGAGTGCAATGGTAAGAATGATTTTATGAGGAGTGCGTTCGATTACTTCCCCCAGCTTACTCGCGCCTGGCTCCTCGCGTAATGACAGACACGCGCAGTGAAGCTAAATAAACGGTTTCAGGTAAAGTTTCGTGCAAGAGCTGGAAATATGGGCATCGCCAGGATTTTTTCTCGAGGGGGGCAAAACATATTTTCCAAAAAATTCATGTTTTTCTCAACATTTTCTCGATTTATCATTTTTCATGGTTTTAGTGGGGGGTAGGGACATTTTTGCCCCCCCCCATTAAATCTTCTTCATTTATCCTCTCAATGAAGGTCATTCATTGCAAAAATGATAAGACATGAATCTGGGACTGAGAAATATTTCCAATTTTCTGAGGAAAATGTTTTGACTCTCCATAGACTTTTTACACAATTGCAGAAGTGGCGTCAGGTTGCAACAGTTTTCCCACGCTACATTCGAATCAATTAACTGTAAAGCACGTCCATGCCCAGTGAAAATACGCGGGGACACATAGAGCTATATAGTGTTTGTAGCTCTATGCTCCGTGCAAGCCCGTTTTTGGACACGGCCTGATGAGGCGCCCGCAGGACGTTGCATGGCCTTATGGGATATTTACCTAAGTAACCGGCTCGGCAAGTCGGTTACTTGGGCCAGGCTTGATTAAGCGCGACAAGTCATGTGAGAGGTAAATCTAACGCTGTCGCGCTTGCATGAGTAAGTGCAGGAGAAGTAATTGAATGCACTGGAGGTGACAGACGGACTGTTCCATTCCACAAGAAACATTCCATCTGTCACCAAGTACTCTGTTCATTGCATTTACCGCACCTTGGCCTTGGCCACTTCGTCCCTGGAGTCACTTAGCTGGCTCTGCAGGTCGATGTTTGTCTGCAGCAGGTCTCGCTTCTCCTGCTGCAGGCGCAGTATGGTGGTAGATGCGTCCATCTTTTTGGGGCCTGAGTTTGACAATCGAGCGAGATTCAGAGATGGTCTGTTCTCGTCAACAATTAAAATCTTTTTTTAATTTTTTTTTTTAAACTTTTCCCAAAGACTTTTATCAGATTTTAACAAAACAGGTATTCTTTTTTCTACTGTGGGCATCATGATTGTTACAAAGTGTAATTATCTCATTTTAACAAAAAATGTTTTGGTGTCAACGATTTCTACATTGATTTTTTTTCTCCACACTGAAAAAAAAAATGCACAATATACCTTTACTATAGTGCCACCATTTCAGTCATGTTCCCTGTATCCAGTAATAGTATTGAATGATAATGGTTTTTTGTACAAAAAGGAACCAGACTGTTTTTTTCTTCCAGCCTGCGTATTTTATATTTGCAGCGTACATCCTATTTTAACCAATGACATCACGCACCCTAACATGAATATTTATCACGCTGTGTGGATGGAAGACACTTAGGTTCTCGTAGTGTTTTCCCTTCAATAAACTCATCCCAACCAACAAAAAATATTTGATGAAAATGGACGCGGGTTCAAACCGCAGATCTTTCGATCCATATTCATTCTGCTATCCACTAGGCCACTGTGGCAGCTCGATGAAAGCCGTTCTTTGAAATGCTTTAATGTTCATGCATGACTGAGTGATAGCAATTATAGCAATGATGTGACGTCATCTTTATTTTCAAAATAATTATAATTCAAAAACACAACACCGTTTTTAAAGTTCTGTGCTGTCCACGGATCACAAAAAGGTAAGTGTTCTTTCAGCAAAACGAAAACAAATCTCATAGGGATATGTGTGAATTGTATTCGTTTTTCTGAAAGAATGCGCACCTTTTTTGTGATCCGCGAAAGAACTCTAAAATGGTGGTTGTGTTTAAAATTCTGTAACTTGGAAAGCACATGAGTGATTTGAATGAATCTTGTACTAAAAGAAAGCCTATGAATTGGGCTTTCATAGCCTAGATTTTGAAAGTGCTACATGCAGAACTTCACTAATACAATAGTCCCGACATTTGGGTTTCTCTTTTTCTTTTTACTCATCCTGTATCTCAGTAAAACTGATCTTGTGAGTTTCAAGGGGCAAAGGTTGGTCAGTGGAAGTTACTTTTAAACTACGGGGGGAAAAAAATCAGCACAAACACAGCTTTGATTTTGAGAAGCAAACCTTGCATAATGACTCACCGTCAGAAGCGCTGGTCACGCCAGGCTTAGCTGTTGAGGTGTTAGTAGGCCTAGGCCTTGCTGTGCTTCTAGCAGGTGCTGGGTTGCGAGCAACGACTGCAGCATTTAAGGGAAAGTGGTATTTTGCAAAAAGCAATTAAAAGAAAACATGAAAGAAATAAGCCACTTTTTTCCACAGCCATGGGCTTGAGCTGCTTATGTTGATTTTGATTGGTGGGTGGGTTTGTATACTTGGCCATATATTGTATTCTTGCAACTCAAGAATTATAGCTTTGCTTCCAAGGGCCGCTTTTGATAACACTGATGCCCATGCATCTAATTTGCATATTTGTGCATATTAGATCACGCATGCGGTGACCACAGACTCTGAGGCAATGGAGACTTTTCCCCTGATGGATCTTGCTACATTTGACAGGCTTGTCACTTAGTCAAGTGTTGCATGTTGCTACGTTTGGCAGGGTTCTACCAAACATACCCTGGCGGGTTAGGGTTAGCTCAGCCATTTAAAGCCAGCTTATTATGGAGCACAAAAGCAAACCGACATTGCAAATTTGTAATGTTGCAAGCGTTCATTCTGCAAACTCTCAAAACTTTAACGCTTTTCAAATCTGGTGAGCTTTGCTGAGAATTTTGTGTGACGTCAAGTCTGTGATGTTGGTGAGTGCTCCTTTAGTCTGAGTATCACCCGTATATCAAGGAGCATATATTGATACAGTTTGCATTAGGGCTGTTCATTGGAACTGAGTACCCGACTGCTGATGTCAGGAACCGGTTCCAGATTATAGTAACAAGTACCCGTAACCAACTTTACAAATTACTTAGTTACTTCTGAGACTATATGAAAAAGAAAGATTTTGAATGTCATTGATGGGGGATTTTCAAAATGAAATTCACACCGTAAAGCTAATTAAGAGCTAACTCCTATTTTAGTGAGCTCTTTAGCTTTATGTGTAACTTGCATTTTTGCAAGCGTCATAAACGTGAATCTGTTTTGATGCACCAATGTGGTAGTAATATTGGGGGACCTTTTATGACCTTAATAAGGACTAAATGTTTGATTGGTCAATTCGAATGCAATGTTTTGTAATATAACAACGGCCATGCATGGATCTGTAAAACCTAGTTTTCACTCATTAAACAAAATTTCAAATGTTTGTATCACAGACACTGTTATTAGTTACAACAAACAAATGTCACAATTGTATTGCTATAATGCTACCTTCAATTTCCACACTTGTTGGGGGGCATGAATGCCTCCCGTTTACGAATTATGAATATTAATGAGGTCGGTAACGGAAGGACGGTAAAACGGACAAGAGTTTTCCAACTTACACGCGTTTTGCGTAAACTATGTGCATTTTATGTGGCAATTATATTTTAAAGGTACTGGTAGGAAATGGAATCCCTGAAGCTTTATCTATACTATACCGCCTTTCATTTGACTTTAAGTGTTTCAGTAATATAATTAGAGGGGTTTTAAGTGGATTATAATTCGGTAACGGAAGGACAGTAACGGAAGGACAAAAGGTTTACATGTACTCAATTATAGCATGAACAAAATGTGAATTTACACTAATAATACAAGTGAAATAAATTGCTGAAATGTGTAACTGAAAGTGAAATCAACAATATGCAGACCTGGCATAAATAATTATACCCAAGAAACTATTGAAATAAAGATAGAAGCCTGCTCATTAATGATAACAAATGAAAAACGAAAACAACCAAAAACACATACAGTACATGTAATTCACGAACACAAGACAACTACAGAAATGGACTTTAAACCCATCACCCCAATCCTTAAAAGTTTAAATACACAGTATTTGAACACTTGAGTATATTGGTAACATGTTCACCAACAGCTTTTAATAGTAATACCGGTAGGTTCAGTGGTTTACCTAAAAAAAGGGGGGGGGGGGCGACCAGCCTACATGTACATTGAAGGTAAAAACATCTACCGGTAGAACTGATGGCTTCATAATCATTATGCTTTTAGGTGTTGCTTTTAATTGAACTCTAAATTCAATGTTTGAAGTCAAAGTATAACGATTTAGAGTAGTAACAATTAACTTATAAACATCCAAATTGAAGTTGTTAACTTGGGCATAATTTGTCAAAGATTGCACCTCACATGTCTTAGACATGTAAATTGAATGAAAGTGTCCATAAGTACTGGTACTTTCTGCCATCTCATTTTTGACTTAATTTGTTTCTGGAATGGCTTCACAGAATTTGTATCTTTCTGTATTGTCCATGAATGGTGATGGCAGCAACTTTATGATTTGATTTTCTGTAACAACTCCATACATGTACAAGTACTGGTATATTGGCATATGTATGTACATTGTACATACCTGTGCCATCCTTTGTAATAAACACCTTGCCCTGCTTATCCCGCTTTTGTGAAGGTGGGTCACATGAATGTCCTTTCAATGGTCATTATGCATGCATGTATTTGCAGTGATTTTCATTTTTCGACCATGACATGCATGAGCACAAATGTCGTAACATTTCATAAAAATACGATTTGTCCTTCCGTTACCGTCCTTCCGTTACCAATTTGGTAACGGAAGGACGTGATTTAATTAATTGTAATTAAAAAACAAGAAGTACAATGTACAGCAGTGTCAGTTATAATGGCATATTGAAGGCCTACCTAAATTTGCTTTGCACAATAACTTTCAATGCATTCATACTGCAAGCTTTAAAAATAAATGAAAAATATGTATTTTTTCGGTAACGGAAGGACATTTTCGAAGGCTGAAATATTAGAAGTCACTGAAGCGACACAAATTACGCAAAACCTAAAAAAAAAGTTTCAGTCGGTTTTTCAAGACCAATACTTTCTCATGACAGAAACTGATGGCATTAGTACATAATTTTGTGTGTGTATTGGTAGAATACTTTCATATCACTAATAATCACATTTTTAGGATTAAAACAGGATTATTACGTAATCCTATTTTTTGGTACCGAAACGTATCAAAAATAAAATTCCGACTTCAAATCTTGAAACTATAGACTTTAGTTTCAGCTTTCATTTGACGTCAAATTTGTTTACATGTAAAGTCACATGTATTTGAATTGTTTGGTGTCATGTCCACTTTGGTGTGGAATTGCCCTATATTAAATAGACTGGCGCAAGTCCAGCCTCTAATTAAAAGTTAAGAGCCATCTTAAAAGTTTGAAAATCTTACTCGGTTTTCCAGGCTTCACAGCCGCAGTCGTGGTTGCACCTTTGTCGTTACCCTGTGAGGAGGTTTTTTGGGGGGCAGGGGGGTGTTGTGTTAAGAAAGGAGGACACAAAGTTAATACAAATGTATAAAAATCAACAAGAAATTTATGACTTTTGTTCAGAAACTGTTTTAGCCCCCTCTAATTTATGAATAGTTAAAATGCGGTACCCACTGCTATGTACATCAGATTCAAACCGGCCAATCGATCCCACAAGCTCGGTGGTCGAGTGGTAAGACATCTGCACTAGAAAGCAGGAGCTCAAGACCCAGGTCACTGATGTGTTAAAAAAGATGATGCTGAGCCAGTATTGTATTAAACTGTAAGTGTTACTGTTTTAGAAATGGCCTAAAAGCTGTTATCCATACATAAATTACATGTTCATCTGCAAATAGCGCCCCTAGCTTATAGAAATGTATGACTGCACAGAGCGCCCCAACCCTTCGCTTTTTGACGGCGCACCGACCTTTAATTTTCAAAGTTGGAGAACACTGCAAAGTGGTTTTCAGTTTCATGTAAGTGAACCAAAAATGTAAGCGTCTAAATGGCAATCTCATCAGTTAGGGCCTAATTGGACAATCAAAATCACTGCAGACCTTTAATTTATTAGAAAACAAAGAGCATACATGGGACATTCTATAAATTGTGGGTCTACTTTTTAACCTACCCCCCTGTTACATCTGGCATACTTAATTTAACCCTAACTCCTGGGGCTCTTTTACTAGAAAGTATCCTGAATCTGCCAAAATACCTCAATTTTGTCATGCAAAAAATGCTGGTATCCTGAATCCATCAGAATCCCCCAGTGTAGATTCTGGAGGTACCGCATCCTGAATCCGCCAGAATCCACCAGCAAAAGTCTTGATGGATTCTTGCGGATTCAGGATACCATGGTGGCATAAAAAAAATACAGCATGTTTTTCCATAGAGTCTTCAAAATCCATCACCTAAATTTCTGGTGGATTTTGACGGATTCAGGATACCATGCTTGCATGAAAATTGTGATGTGTGTTGTTGCATAGGATCCATCAAAATACACCAATGCATGGCGACCCCAGCATGGATCAGTACCGAAGTGAATACGTCTGGCGCAATAAATTTGTGTGAAAGACATTAGCGCATGTTTCAGCCCGTAAACCCTAGATATAGAATGAAAAGACTAGATCGGCAGCGCATCCACAAGCGCCCAGTCACTGTGCTATAAATCTTCGCCATTTTGGTTGTCTCTCATAGACGCGCAACAAATTAACGTAAAGTAATGGAGCTAAATGTATCTTTCCTCCAGCACGTGACCTAGCTCAACACGCGCGAAGCAAGAAATGCGCACCGAGTATTTACGCGATGCGCACACATAATTATTAGCGATGCACATGGTGTTCTTTGCGCGTAAATGGCGTTGCGTTCGCCACGTTTTCGCACATTATTTGTATCTTTCCTCCAGCACGTGACCCTCCAATGCAAGTCCACCCAGTACATGTATGTACATGTTTGTACAGTATGTGACAGACTTGGCAGGGCTAGTGCCAGCAGTATTTACTTGACCACAAACATTGCAAAAGAGTTAAACTGTTGAGATCCTGAATCCATCAAAGTCCCCCAATAGCTCAAAATGGAGGTACATCCTGAATCCATCAAAATCAGCCAGTTCCGCTAGGCTTCGAATCCTGAGTCCATCAAAATCCCCCAGTTTGTTCGATATGGAGGTATCCTGAATCCCCCACCCCCGAAACAGGGGGGTGGATTTTGATGGATTTAGGTACGTTAGGGTTAATAATTCTGAGGCACTCCTTAATGCAGTTGTCCTCCGAGAGCACAGAGTCATGCTTAGGCCGAAAAGAAAATAGTTTTGCTTCCGGCTTTCCTTTCTACCCTATTCTGACAGCCCCTACACTACCGTACTTTGTTTTTGGAAAAAATTAGAAAGAAAACCCCCCAAAACATCAATTATTACCTTTTACCCTTGACTACATGCAGACGCCTGCATGTGATTGTACACCCAAAAAAAATTGCAAAAAAATATATATTTTGGGTGGCCTTGATGACATTTGAATGCCATATTAACCAAAATAACAGTGACAAGAAAAAAAACCTTTGGATCTTAAATTGACAGAATGACCAATGTACAGTGCTGGAAGGGTTCCTCCACATTGTAACGTTCACCACCTAAAAACACTCAAACTAACAAAATTATTTTGCCTTGTTTGCATGTATTCCTGTTTCCTTGCTAACTTGGGTGGCATGGATGGCTATAGTGCGTCAAGCGCTCGCCTCTCACCACTGTGGCCCTGGTGCGTTCCCGACTAGCAGTGGCGGCACCGGACTCTAAAATGTAGGGGAGGGGTGGGAGAAATTGGGAGGGGTGGGGGCAATTGGAAAGTGGGGGGCAAGGAAATAGTTTTTGGGGCAGTCAAAACAAAATCTGATAATATCCAAAATCTAAGGGGCCGTTCACAATTATCAACATTTTCACGAGTGTACAAACCGTACGCTGGGGGGGAGGGGTTATTGGCCGCCGTACGCCTTTTTTTTTTAATGTCGATATGTTTTTTCACCCGTTAATGCCCGCCTAACGCTTTTTTTTTTAAAAATGTTGATCTGTTTTCTCGCCCGTCACCACAGCCGACAGCCGCAACCGATGCCGATCGAGCACTTGCCGAGCCGGTCGCGCCCCGCGCCAGGCCCCGCATTGCATCCCATGAACGTATTGTGTACAGCATGCGCGGCATTGTGCTACACACGTACATGAAAATGTACTGTACTGTACAAGTACACGATGTACATGTACATGTATAGTCCGTATCCACTGCATGTTTTTAACGGCCGGTGTCACATGAAAATCCGACTCCTATGAAAATCGGACCCCTTTTTCCCTTTTATTGGTTAATCCCTCGCACGTGACAGGTCACTCTCCCCAAACGATCCTCAAAATAGCATACATGTAGTATCGTACTCACGCGTGCGCACTACTACCAATGAGTCCACATTGCATGGAGTCGGATATTCACGCTACACCGGTTGAATAACACTGGCACTCACTAGCAATGCCAATGGCGGACAAGCCGCGCTGTTTACTTGGACCAATTGTTAAAATTCGTCATTTGACAAGGATGTATTGTCCACAAGAATCCGACCAACAAATACAGAGAGTTTCTCAATGCTTTTGTATTTGTGAATGATCAACGCAAGCGAGCAGATGTCGTGTGTGAGGGCCAGAGACAGTGAAAAGCTGTTCGACGAAGTCACATGCAAGTGTCTATACATGTACATGTATATAGACTTGTGTGAAAAAAAAATCAACATTTTTTTCGTACACTTTTAGGGGGGAGGGGGTCTTGAAAAAGTGTACGCTTTGTACACTTGTGAAAATGTTGATAATTGTGTGAACGGCCCTTAAGGGGAAAGTAAGGAAGAGCCAATAAATAAATGGCAGCTTAAAGTCTCATGAGATTTGAAGGTTTGCATGGTGGAAAAATACTAAGACAAGATAAGTTTGCGGTAGCACCATGTGATTAAAGCTCTTTTGTGAGAATGTGTGGTTCTGAAAAGAACCGGAACTAAAAGTCTGTGTACACGTGTGCGTGCCCATTGTCAATGGTCTAGAAATAAGCCACTAGAGCAACTTAGAAGTGTAGTCATTTTTAATGCTTTTATTGGCCCAAAATATGTCCACAGAACCGATGATATGAATCTTATCAGCGTAGAAAATAAACACAATTACTCTATTTGTAGATATGGGGGGGGGGGGGAACGGGGGGGGGGGGGGGGAACTGGGGGGGGGGGCAAATGCTTCTTTGACAACGATGCAATGTTACTCATTAAAAAATTGAATGATCCCCACTGTAGCGCCGCCACTGCCGGCTAGGACCATATGCGAGTAGAATTGTGCATTGGTTCTCTCCTGTGCCGGGAGGGTTTTTTCTCTAGGCCCTCCGGTACCTTCCTTCCAAAAAAAAAACCGCTCTTGATCTCAGGCTGTGCTCCGTGGTCATATATGGGTTGATGTGGCTGGCTGCCAAAGGCGCCTTTACATGCCAGCGGCTCGACCACATTGTAGCCGCGTCCTTCGCAATTCAGCTTCTCAGCTGCGAGTAAGGATGATTAGCCTCCCATTTGAATTATTTATTATAACAAGTATTTTAACTCACCTCGTCCACGGCTTGACTTTCAGTTTCACCTGGCGAGGCTTGGAGGGCACTGGCAGCTTGCTCATGGGATGTTCATGGGATGTTGCCGCATTAAGATCCCGTGAAGACAGTGCTGCCCTCTGTTGGTCGTAAAGTGAAATTTACAATTTTGGGGATTCACAACTTTTGATTCTTTGATATCATGCCAAAAGCAATGTATAAAATACTTAGATAATGTGGGTATTTGTAAAGCGCATGTATCCACCAGTACTGGTGCTCCAGACATTACAATGAGCATCGTTGTTACCCTGCTCATTGGGCCAGTGAAACATTCCAAAGACAGTCTCAGCTCCCTTGTGGAGTTTACAGCTTGATGCTACCGGTATTTTGGCGCAAAGCAGCTAGAATCAACCACAATAACCATCTGTGCTCTCACAGGTACCCAATTGACTTCTGAGCGGGAGAAGCAATGAGTGACAAAGTGCCTTGCCCAAGGGCACACGCACCACAACCCCAGGCTAGACTCGAACCCACAACCTGCAGAATTACCCGCAGACCACAAATTTAATGCTCCACACCACGAGGCCACGACACTCCTATCAGAGGTCCTGATAGAGTTAAAGAAGGATTTTAGAGAGGACAGCTTTTTTCAATGAACTTACCCTAGACATCGTTAATACCTCTGAGTCACTGAAAAAGAAAACACATAAATGAATTAAATAAAGATAACAAAATTGAAGACTGCAGGTTTTTCTCTTGTTAATATTTGTTACAACCATGCGCATCAAAAGAAGTGGAACTCTAAAATAGCAAGGGGAAGGCTGAACTTTTACTAGAAGTCCTAAGTCCAATATTTGTTTATTGTTGGGTTCTCGTAGTGGCATACTGTACGATAGCCACTGTTGGGTTCTCGCAGTGGCTATCGTTACGATTCTGTAGTGCGATTTTCAACAAACGTTACGGCATTGCAAAAAAATACCATTGCAAATCTAAACCATATAAATTGATTACTGCCCTTCAAACCAGGATGCTTTGGTAACTTGATTTGTAAATTGTTGGAGTAATTTATGCAAGTACGTGTACATACGTGTATGTGTACCATGCCAAAGGTTTTGGGATCAAATCCGTGTTACTATTACTAGTGTAATACTGAGTGCTTTAACTCCATTGTTTGAATTGTTGTGATTTTTGTCCCTCCATGAATCAAAATAAGTTGTAGTCTCTCTAATTTTTTTAATTTGCCAACGATGACCGTATGCTTTTGCCTAGTTCCGGATCGTGCGTGCACTTACGACCTAACCACATGTACACGTGCGTTAATCAATTTTGTGTGCTGTGTCAAAGATGTCCGTGCCTGAGTTCCTGCCATTGCGCTGAAGACAAAAGTTTCAAAATCATTTACTTTTTTCCTCTTTTAAAAATTTGCTTGAAATCTCTTGAATGAACTATTTTTTTTGCCATTTTTTTTTATGCAGATTGAATGGGGTATTCAATTACATGTATATGTAATTGAAGTTTAAGCCTGAACTCAGTCCCATAAATGTGACGGAAATAGGTGTTTACATAAATGTGGAGGCCAGTGGCATATGCACATGTTCTTTCCTTTCAAGGGCCATTTCCATGTTAAAATAACCAGTTTGCTAATATTTGTGTTTTTACTTTGTTGCCCATATCACTATGTACCCACTGAAATAAAAAAATAAAAAATCACCACAATGCATTTGTATAATTTTGATCAAAAATTTGCCAGAATTATGACATTTTTAGGTAAAATTGCGTGACATTTTTACAGCTTGTCCAATGGTGCACAGTTTTCATTCTTTCAATTGATAAATTTGGTCCTTTTTAATTATAAATGATTGACGATAACCCAAAACTTAATATTAAACACAATGTTCGTGCATCGGCAACTTTGTATCATTTTGATATGCCCGCTAAAAATACCATCACTCTGTAATATTTGGTGTCAGCAAATCCTGTTACAGAGTGAACTTTACCATTGATTATAATATTTGTAGAAACTGTCAACTATTCTAAATTTTAAGTGATTATTGAAGTCTTTTATTAAATAAAGAGACTAAAGAAGACCAAAAGTGAAATTCAAAGAAGTACAAGAAATATACCAATTTTAAATATTGGCAGATCAATTTGGTGTCATCAAAAAAACGTTACAGTGTGATGCTTTGCAGCTGCACTCTGAATTTGTCAAACTGTATTTGTCAACAAGTTTAACTAAAAATATATCCTGGAGATTGGCTTGGAATATAGATGTCATTAAATTTTGAATCCTTCTCTTAGAATTTGAAATAAGAGGCATAAAGGTTTGGTGTCAACACTGACTCCGTTACATGTGAAATACATGTACCTCTTTTCAGCTGAAACAATGAAGCAAAAGCACCTGTTTGATTGATGATTGAGTTTTTAGCTAAAATAATGACCAAGTTTTTTTATACAATGAAAACTTTGGCATAGGACAGGTTAAAGTAGAACTACGGTGAAGAAAAGTGATAAAAGTGTTTTTGGTGTTGGTGTCAGCGTTACAGGTGAAATGATTATTATAACAAACTAAACTTCCAGTCTCAGAAACAAGTATCTGATGTAGAAACCATCAATCTTATCACTAAATAGAAAGGTTTAAATGGTTTGATACCATTTATTACTATTATTATTAGTTATTTGTAGGATTGTCACTCTGTAACAGTGACTATTTGGTGTCAGCGTTACAGGTGAAATGTTGGTTAACACCAGGCTTTACTTACAATAACATGCTTTCTAGTAGTGTTTGTAAATCTTCATTGCTCTTCATAGTTGCAGTTTTGGCTGTCAAACTTGCTTTTAGAGAACTTGTGAGTGTTTGTCTTAAAATAATATAATTTTATGTCAAGTGAGAGCTACATTTTTGCAATCATCATAATATGTCAAATTTCCTGAAACTTGATATTTGATATTCAACAAATGTTGAACAAGGATAGTGTTAATGTTTTTTTTTTAAACTTATATGTGGTGCAAATAATTGCTTAAAAGCAACATGTCTTTACCATACCTGAACAATAACCTGGTGAGAGCTCTAAAAGAAATTAACAATTTGGTGTCACTGTTACAGGTGAAATTTGTGTCCCATATGCTAGTTTATCATGTTGCTACTCTAAAAAGGGTCATGTTATAGGAAAATGGTTTTGTTTTTGACAAAATATAGACCTTAGACTGCAAAACCATGTGAAGCTGAATTTAATTTGGTTATTTTGAAAATTTGACCCTAATGTCACACACTGGCCTCCACATTTATGTAAACACCCATTTACATAATTATAAATGATTAAAATATTAAAATCTATTTTAATATTTGCTTAATAATGTTTATTTGAGTGGGCGTTTTTACCCCGGGCAAAATAGGGGTCTCGGGGTAAAAACGCCCAGTACTTTCCTTGACATCAAAATCTAATGAAGCCTCATTTATCTTCAAAAACCTTGCTGTTAGAACTTTCTACAGCATTATGTTTGTTGTATGAGTAAGTATTAGCTATCAGAGTCCTACCACATAAATATTAAACAGTGTATTGTGTGAAGTGGGGAGGTACATGTAGGCCGTATAACTAACTGACGTTACGTAGTGGAAGGGAACCTGGCATTTGTTTATTCTATGTAATAGACCCATGGCGAATGCCATGGGTCTATGATATGTGAGCAGATTCGCTGATTAATTAGGCAAGACCCCGCCTCTTGACCTCCTAGATTTTGACCAATCAGCGGGCGCTTTCTTTATCGGGTTTTCCTTCATTCACCCGTTGCGCGTCATAGACAATGGATTAAAAAGCCCTGCGTCACGCACTCTGTTATCGTGTTACGCGATAACGCGCCCGGCTGTTGTTGCATTACAAAACACTGCATTCGAATTGACCAATCAAACTTTTACCGGTAGTCCTGATTTGGGAATGCAATGACGTTTAGTAAAGTCGACTCCAATTGGCTGAGGCGTGAGATCGCATAAATCTGCATGCTTTGATATATCAGACGTTAGACAGGAGTCTGAGCTCCGTGGATAACGTACAGTACTCAGACTAGCATTTGTTAGGGAATGCCCGAGAAATCATGAGCTCATGGCATTTTCTCAAGGAAAAAAAAATAACACTTCTATGGTGATTTCAGTGTACTTTTAATAAGTAAAAATGACTAGAAATGGTTCCAAGACCCAACTAGACTGGTTTCTGCTCTCATGCTCTAATAGCAGAGCTTCATCAGTAGTACGCCAAAACCAGTATTTTATATTCGGCTAAATTAGTCGTGTCAAATGTTAGAGTGCATAGATACACATAAGTGCATCTAATAACATTTTTGTGAACCTTGTAATGAGTCCAATACCTGGTTATTGATAAATCTTGATTTGACAAGTACACCTTCAAGATTTTTGGCTTTATAATAAGCAGTAATTGGTTCGCTGGGAAACGGATTGCATAATTTCAGGTGTTCTGGAATTAAATGCCAGTCTTTCAGCAATACTTTTGTTAGCTGCTGGGTTTTGATGAGTGGTGTGTAGGTGATCTTGAAGACTAGAGGTGGTTCTTTTGGTCGTGTTTCATTCATGATGTATTGCTCACAGATTTCAAATTGTACGTCTTTTATGACCAGTTAGCAATTTCCTCTTTCTTGTGGTTACAGAGTAGAAGGTTCTCCATCATGTCCACGAACACATTTCTTTTCTCTAGGAACTTCTGTAACTCGTTGTTACAGAAATGTGCGTATCTTAGTACCGTAGTTCTCCTTTGATAAAGCCTAAGGTTATCAGCAGAAGGCTAGAAACATACATACATGCCTAATAACATGGAACTATGATTTGGCTAAACAAGATTGAAATAGATTTTTCAATACAAGTTTGTCATGGGCAAATTATGTACGCTAATGTTCCGCTTCCTTTCACATAAAAATACCTGTTTCAAATGATCAAGTTTGTAGATATAATTAACCAGTTGTGTTTGAAAAGTTATTTGTATTTGATGAAGTATCCCTCAATATTAAATTAATTACAAAAATATGACTATACTACAGGGAAGCCTGTGGTATAGCCATTTTTTTTTTATAAATGTGGGCGGGCGTTTTTACCCCGAGGCCCGGGTAAAAACGCCCGCCAAACTTCCTTCCGAAAAGGGGGGAAAATTTCCCCCTATCAATATTATGACCATGATATTATATTTGCACCTGATAGAGGAGACATGTATTGCATAAAACCACACATTTATTTCCTGGTGTCTCCAAGTAGTACTGAGATATTTAACAAAAACTTAAAAATCGGGCATTTTTACCCCAGTTTACCCTACTGTTGATGTACCCTAATGTGGCGCGGCCCTCAAAGTGGTGCACTTTGATTTTTCGCTCTCTAGTGCCTTGTTGGAGCAAAATTGTTACGTCAAATTTCACAAAAAAAAGAAAGAAATTTAATCAAGCTCTAGACATTCACATTCCTAAATCTTGAGTTTACAATGTATGTACCCGCTACGAAGTTAGGAAAATTCTATTTTGGTATGATTTTCCGATTTTTTTTCAAAGTGCACAATGAACCCTTTTAAAATTTGCCCAAAAATATGAAAATAATTTGCTGACAAACTTGTAGTTGTGTATGTGAGTGTAGATAATAATGATTCAATAGAATTTATCAACTTTAATGAAATTCTTTGGACGCTAATGTGAGATTTGTTCAAGTGCGCCACGTTACGGAACTCTCGGCCAAATTTGAGCCCAATTTCCGGACGCCACCGTTTTTGAATATTGGACTTATTCATGACACTTAAATTGTTCACAAAGGTTCAACAGCAAGCATTATTAAGGAAATGGTACCACTATTAAACTGAATAAATTTGAAGGTTTTTCTACGGAGAGGTTTGGCAACATTACACAAAGAAAGTCGGGGGAAACGTGCATATTCTGTAATTGTGCCTCACTACAAAATCTAAATGTGAAAATAAAAACTTGACAAAGTTCTACATTTTCAGGTACATGTTCCAAGTGTGGCCTTTATTTTCGTCTGGTGCGTTGTCGTGGAGAGCATTCTCGTTGTCTTGCTTTCCGCGACAACGCACCAGACGAAAATTGAACTCACTTGCGGCGCCTGAAAGCGGTGTGGTACCCACATACATCACGCGCGCAGATTTTTTTCGATGTCACCACGTGATGCATACATTTACATAATTAGCAAATTAAAATGGACGACAACCGTTGGAACTGGCATTTTTTTACGGACAAGCCTTCGAAATCGTCAAGATTTTTCACATTTTTTTGTGTGGTCTGTTTCAAGTCGATCATTAGGCTTAGTAAATGACTGCTGAATGTATGAGGTATGTAAATGAACTCTGGGGTGGGATATTAGAGGTGAAAATGAACAATTTTTGAGAGGCCATTTTTTTAGGGTCTCTTGCTACCACACTCTAACGAGGTTAGGCCTATTCCTCCAGCGCTACATGTGAATGAATATGACTTATGAGCATGTCAGCTGGAGTTACTCAAACTAGGCTACGAGTACGAGCTGGATAGATTGAATGGCGGGGTATTCTGCAATTGTACCCTAAGTACCAAGTACCAAGTTAGCTCTACTGAGTGGAGCGTTGAATTACGGGTACCCCTCCATACAAACGCTCCACCTATTTGCCATACTTTGGTAGCACTTACACGGTCGTCATGACGGTATGCATTTTGTGCATGCCCTCGCGAGGACAAGGCCCAAAAAAACTGATAAAGAAAATACAAATGAGGAAGACAGTAACCCTGGATAGATCCACACATTCATGACTGTTTCATGTACTGATATGTGCCCCGCACCAAAAACCCACAGTCAGACGGCGCGGGGCACATATGACTACATGAAACAGCTATTGAGTAAGCGCAACTTGTTTTTCTTCAATAGTGACGTCACACATGCGCGCAATGAATTATGCATCAGTCATGTCAGTGAAATAGACTGTGCAATTCGGCAGACACATTTAATTGTGAGCGGTAAGTTCAGACTATTTTGTTCTTTTTTCAAAATTACCGGTTGTTTAAAACAATTTGAGGGGTCTTATGGAATGTCATGAATGTGTGGATCTATCCAGGGTTACTGTCTTCCTCATTTGTATTTTCTTTATCAGTTTTTTGGGGCCTTGTCCTCGCGAGGGCATGCACAAAATGCATACCGTCATGACGACCGTGTAAGTGCTACCAAAGTATGGTAAATCGGTGGAGCGTTTGTATGGAGGGGTACCCGTAATTCAACGCTCCACCCAGTAGAGCTAGTACCAAGTAAATTCAAACCACTAGCGCGCCTGAAAGCAGTATGGTACTCACATACATCGCGCACGCACACTGCATGAAAGGTGAGTGCGTCATTCCACGAGTGCCTCATTTGAATACAGGTCAACTCGTACGCGAGCCAACTCGTATGCGACCAACTCGCTCGCAGGACAACTCGTACGCGAACCAACTCGTACGCGAGTCAACTCGTACGAGGGATAACTCGTACGCGGACCAACTCGTACGCAAGCCAACTCGTATGCGTGAGTATAGACTAGCAGCCGTAGCACAAGGGATTTTACTGAAACCGTAGGTTCAGGCGTGTAGGAAATTAGGGTCGGTCAGTTGTCCAGCACATTCTTTTTCCCTTAAGTTAAGGGGATTATTTTGTGTCACTGAGTGGTCCCAATCAGTTCATCTTTAAATCAGCTTGTTTTGCTCATAACAAAAAAGTTATGATTTGTTTTCCCAGACCACTCGCCATGCTCGCACACGGTCGGGCAAGTCCGACGGTCCGATCCTAGCTCACACTTTACGACAAGATGATGCCGTGTAGTGAGAATTTAAATGTATAATGTCCACTGCATTTGTAGACTTCCAACAATACACTGCTATAGCGGCCCCACGCCATGTGTAAATCAAGTCGTTGATTATATATCTTGACAAATTCTCCACACTAGCTGCGTGATTGGAAGAGCATGCCGCGGCATTGCACTACACATCGGTCGCAAAAAGGATCATGTTTTTTTTTTAAATTTATCATTGAAACTTGTGAACTTGAACATCGTTGCATTTATGGAATTTAAAATTGTTGAAAATATATATAACTACAATTACAGTCATTCAGTCATACAATCACACCGCTGTGATGAATCGTTAACTTTGGCGTGTGTTTTGGGGTAAAATTCATCTTCAAGTTGGCGATCCTCCGCGTACGAGTTGACCCGCGTACGAGTTGGCCAGCGTACGAGTTGGGCCAGCGTACGAGTTGGCCCGGGTACGAGTTGTCGCGCGTACGAGTTGGCCCGCGTACGAGTTGACCAAACCGCGTACGAGTTGTCTCGCGTACGAGTTGTCTCGCGTACGAGTTGTCTCGCGTACGAGTTGTCTCGCGTACGAGTTGTCTCGCGTACGAGTTGTCTCGCGTACGAGTTGTCTCGCGTACGAGTTGTCTCGCGTACGAGTTGTCTCGCGTACGAGTTGTCTCGCGTACGAGTTGTCTCGCGTACGAGTTGTCTCGCGTACGAGTTGTCTCGCGTACGAGTTGTCTCGCGTACGAGTTGTCTCGCGTACGAGTTGTCCTGTTTCCCGTCATTTTACCTGTGGCCGTTTATTTTCATTTAGGCCTAGCAGGGCGGCCTACGTAAAAAATGAAACAGCTCCATGAGAAAACTTACCTGTATCTTTCTGCCGCTCATGATAAGTGTAAACAGTCCCAGCAGTACAGTTTCTTTGATGCCGCGTCATTTTCAAAGAAAAGTTGTGTTTTCGCCCAGTAATTACGGTCCGTTCAGCTGGCTCTAGTGTTTGCTAAAATAATGGAAATGATGACAAGCGAGCCAACGTTGCGCCCTCTAGCGCTAGGCGTGCAGTGCACTCATTCAAGTTAGAATTTCTACGCGAGCTCACAACATTAGCATAAAAGGTACCCCCTCCCCCCCCCCCCCCCCATTTCTTTTGAAAACGGACACCGTTTCGGCTTTAAAAACAGTGGAATTGTGTAAATATGGTCAAGGATCAACTCCCTGGTTTTCGGGACTTCCATCTGAGGGCAGACTTGATAAAATTACGGTTGAAAAATGAGTCCTATTTGCCTGAGAAAGTGGAACTTCTGGAAGGGCTTCATGCAGGCTTGGGAACTGTTGCGTTTTGGTGTGAATATCAATGTATTTAAAAATATAATTGGCTGTCTACCCAAAATTGAAAAGGAATAAAACGATGAAGGACAAGACAATAATTTAATTTTGGTTTGAGAAACCCCAGTGATGTCGGCCTCCATGTTATTTGGCCCTGAACTTTGTCAATTTTACACTGTTTTCAATGGGGCTTGAAAGGGTTAAGATAGGATCTTTGGCCGTGTACGAAACGGGCTTCCAGAGCTACGGCTACGTCTGTTGTCAGCGCGTCCCCGCGTATTTTCAATGGACGCAGACGTAGACCTAGCTCTAGACAGCTGATTCGGATGCAGCCTTTGATAGAAAGTACGGCCAATGGACCAATCCAGTAAGCTCCGCCCAGTACGCATGTGGGCAAATTAACACGTGCTCCTCTCCAATGCCACGCTGCATTTTCTTTCCGCGTGCATCATACACATCATACGCGCGTGCACGCACGTCGGACATAAATCACGGCTGTGATCACTGATTGGTCAGAACACCATGGGGCGGTGCTTACTGGATCGGGCCATTCCCAAGCAAAACAAAAATACGTATGCACCCATTGCAAGTATTCAAATTATTTTTGGACAACAGTGCTAAGAGGCCATTAAGGGGCATATACTCCCCTCCCAAGACAGTATCAAAGGCTATTAAAGGGAATATACAACATTTGCAAACAACGAAAAATAAAACTATCAAGTTTTTGCGAAATACCTTAACAGGATGTTGGTAAATGACAGTCTAAAGCATCCTGTAAAATTATGGCACCTGGTATACTGTCATTTTCAAGAAAAGTGGTATTTTTGTATCAATTTCCAACGCTGATCGGCCGATCAGCGTTGGAAACAACTGGCTTTTTATCAAATACTGGCCCCAATTGACCATTGCACTTGTTTGCAATCGATTACAAACCTATAAACGGGTACGAGCCAGCTAGACTGGTTCCCTGACCTTACAATTCCCCCAATGTATGTAAACTGCTCTGTTTCTTCTTATATGGAGTCAGGGAACCAGACTACAGGAAAATGATCGTTTTTCTTGGTTTTATAGCATTTTCGAACCCAAAACCTCCAAAAAGTTAGTGTAACTATATTTGCTTTATATTTCCGACCCCCCAATTCCACCCATTTCTGAAAATTACAGCAAAAGCAAATGATGTATATTCCCTTTAAAGTAGTATGCTTTATTAATTTTAGCTCCAATCAATGGTGCACCCAGGATTTGGCTTGGGGGAGGGTTGGGGGGGGGGGGGAGGGTTGGGGGGGGGGGAGGGTTGGGGGGGGGGGGGGGGGCTCAACTAGAAAAAAAAATTGTCAATGGATGCGCCGCTGGCTCCAATATGCAAGCATACTAGTATCAATGGGGGATGTGTCAACCAAATGCAGATATTCGAACTGCAGTGGTGTAGGTAGCTTGGATTTTTTTCATCCTGGTGGTGGTAGGGAGGGGGGGGGGGGGGAGCGGGGCAGCACCACAAATCCACAGCATTTTTCTCTAGCATGGGCCAGACAAGCCATGTCTCAAATTGGATGAGGGATAGGGGCCGACTCCATTAGATTTTGTTAATATCTTATGATGTACGTACTTCAATGCAACAAACGTGCGAATGAATAAAACAGAAAAAAATCATCTGAAGTTTTCACTGATATTTTATTAACTTACACTGAAAATGTTGCCTAATATTCATTGCAAATAGGTGTCAAAAATCATAAGACATTATAATCTTTCATCTTAACCTTTTTGTTCATCTTAACTTCCAATATTACATTTCTAATTACATGCTATTCAAAGTTTTTTATTTAAAACCTGCAAAGTTTCTCACTATATGTGCTACAGGTCAGTGGCCCACCAAGGATTTCGGGGGGGGGGGGGGGGCTCGATTTTTTTTATTATTTCTTAGAAGATATCAAAATTTTCAAAATGTTAAATTTTCCCAAATTTTTTCGTCGCAGAAATTTTTTTTGGGGGGGGGAGAGGGGATGGACTATTTTGACGTTGGTGGCGCCACTTACACCCCTATTATATTACTCGAAAATAGGCCGCATACATATCACCAAGGTCAAATCATGGGAAACCTTTTTCTTGGAAGGGGGGGGGGCAAGCCCCCCCCCCCCCTTAGCGCCCCTGCTGCAAGTTGCTGTAGTTTCAACACAGCGAGAAGACATACATGTACTTTAGTGAATTTCATCAATTGCTCCTCATTTAGAAGAAAACCATACCTAGAAGAAAACCATACCATACAGAATACCATACAGATCATGTAACACTAAAAAAACACTCTTTTTTACACGGTATTTCCTCAATTGTTCTAAAAAACAAAACTATTGATACATAACAGAGTTCAACCATTTTTCTTTTACACAATTTTCCTCAATTGCTACTTATTTATAAGGAAACCTGCATACCGGATTTTATAACTTAAAAACAAAAGTATTGATACATGTCGGAGTTCAAAACCAATTCTTTCTATACACAATTTTCATCAATTGTTCCTCATTTAGAAAAAAACCTGAATATCATATATGTTATAACTTTAAAAAAAGTCTTGATGCATGTCCGAGTTCAAAGCATTTTTTTTTACTGAGCCAACACGGCCAAAGGCTAATAAATGGCCAAAATCAAATGAACCTTTAAAAATGGACAATGAAAACTAAAGTAACACATTTTCTGTACCTCCACGACATTGTATTTGACTTTAAAGGGAATATACAACATTTGCAAACATCGGAAAACAAAACTACCCTTTTTTTTACGAAAAACCTTACTAGGATGTTGGTAAATGACAGTTTAAAGCATCCTGATAAAGATAAATTGATCCATTTCATCTTTAATGGAGTCAGAGAACCAGACTCCTTAAACATTTTTGTTTTTCTTAGTTTTTCCAGCATTTTCGAACACAAAACTTCAAACATGTCAGTGTAACAATATTTGATCTATTATACTAACCCGATCAAATAGTTCATTTCTGAAAATTACAACAATTACCAATGATGTACATTTCCCTTTAATAGTATTAAAGTCAGAAATTAATACTGTAAAAAAATACATTCTGTTTGATAATACATACTTTGATAATACATACACATGTACAAACACATATTCAAATAAGTTTAACCTTGGGGATTTACAACAAGTCATGCTACAGTTTATCATAATCTTATTGTGGTGCCACTTTTGTTATCAGAATTAAGTTTGAAGCGTTTTCCAGCCACATGACCTGGAATTCAAGCAGTTCGTTACCAATGCATTTATGTGTTTTTTTCCCCGAGAATTATCACATTGCTTTGACCTACATTATATGGTAAGAGTACTGTACAGTTATGAAAGATGGATATGGGTTAATCTATCAATTAGGGGTCCAAAGTGGGACATTGCATTAAAAGAGCTCAAAAACCTTAAGTTATTTTAATTATGGCCAATCTTGCTTTTCATAATATGAGATGTATTTACTTCCATCCGGATGGTAAAATTGAGTTAGTACATCCATCATTTTGACCTAAAAAAATGGCATAGCTTACCTTTTAAGGAGGAAAAAATGTAAATATTTTGTAGACCGTAATTGTTGTCCCACTTTTTAGCCAAAAATATGAGAATTTTCGGCTTATTTTTAACCAAAACAGGAACTAAATGGGATCAAGATAACAAACTTGTAGGTTTTATCAATGCAAATTTTATTGGAGTTTGTTAAACATAAAGTATTACTAACTTGAATACATTCCTATTTAGTTATATAACAAACCAGACACATTTTCCTATTGGACCCCTAATTTATAGAATGACCTACCCATATAACTAAACAATTCTGTTCAGAAAATATTTGTTTTTGTGAGACACCCATTTTTCTTGTGGGCGACTCATTGCATTGACTTGGTCGAATTACTCTATGGTAGAATAAAATTGGAGTAATTTGAGCCATCATTAGATTGTCTTCTCCTAAGTAGACTAAATCATCAATGTCTAATTTGACAGTAATAAGTTGATACATGCATGCTCTGGTATTAGGTACAAGCTCAGAGCTTGTGCCAATAATAACCATTTTTTTAAGCTCTAGCAGGAGCTTCTACATGTCACTTGACCAAAATAAAGCCCCCTAAGTTTCCTACAAAATATAACTTTAAATTCCAAGAAATAGCAAACAAAATAAACTAAATAGTTAACAACAATTGTAAGTAACAGTTCGGAAAGATGTTTATGAAAAGAGTGTAAATGCAGGCAAAATATGTGCTTTGATTATAGTCATGTGGTATTTACCACAAAGCGCTACAAATCTAGGTATACAGTTGAGTCTCGTTATAACAAACTCGTTCAGACCTAGCCAAACTGTTTGTTATATCAGAATTTTGTATTAAGAGGAACATCAGTCCCATTCATTGTGCACATAAATGCACAGTCGGGACCAGGTCTTTATGTTTTTTATAACCAGAATTTTGTATTAACAGAGTTTGTACTAACGAGAGTTGACTGTATATCTAAAGTATGGTGTTCCACATGTGCCATCAGCATCGCATTTGTGGGAGTCACATTCAGGCGCGGTTCTAGAGCCAATATTTTTTTGGGGGGGGGGGCTAGCAGGGCGGATCCAGAATATTTTACAGGGAGGCGTGCTGAAATGAAGACCGGTTATTTTCTCCAGACACTTAGGGCTCCAAAAATCAATAAGGGGGGGGGGGGGGGGGCATGCCTTAT